AAAAAGTTTCGAAGTTGAATCTTAAACATGACAATTTTTCAAAATATTTAACATATCATTTTAATAAAGACAAATTAACATATAGATACTTTCAGGTTCGTAAACTATCTTGATAGTACATTTTGCAACATTAGACACTTGTTGCTCAGCACAAATACCACCATTACTTTTTCTTTTTTCCCAATAAACTTTAAGATCATTGAAGAGAAATCTGTCTCAACGATGTAACCCTGGACTTCAAATTAGTTTTAGACGATGCTAATTGCTTTGCATCGACACATTGTCATCAACATGACCTATGCATTCAGACTCTAAATTCTTTAGTTTTAGTTTAATGATCACCAATTATTCCAAAATTTCAGCAATTGGTTCAAAGAGTCATAAAATTAGTTGCCGTAGTATAGCCTATCGCACCATTTTTTTTATTTGCAATATCGGAACAACTAGCTTGCTGTGTGAAATCCTTGTTACATGCATTGGATTCAATGTGTTTTTGTACAAGGCGAATGAGGGATAAACAAAAATCCTAGTTGGGTGCTAGATTAGGCTTTGAAAATAATCCATGGCAATAATCTTGAGATATCTCCTCGTCCTTTGGCTCAAAATTATTACTTCTAGCCAGTAATAGATAATACAAAAATAAAAGTTAAATCGATCGACATGAATAGTAGTTATAGACAATGTGCATTAATCAACATTAGCAAAAGCTTGTTTCATTTATTTTGTTTTGAAGATGATTTGCGTTTGCGTTCCAAGCTCGTTCCAAAGTTCTTTGCACTTTTGACGGTGACTTAGATATCTCTCCATGATCCACAATTGAGAGCTATTGTGCTTTAGGAGGCTGAAACGAGGATGAGCTAGTAATTGCCATTTTGAGAAATGCAGATTCAGATGGGAGTTTTACGGTTATATTGTTAGGTTTTGAATGGAGGGTTTTAGGGTTTATATTGATTAGATTGACATAGAGATACATTTATGTGCAGAAAATGTGGGATTTGTGATTAATTTGGGAATTTTGAGATATAATTAAAGAGTAATGATATTCACAGTTAGTGATTGCAGTAATCATTCTATGTAATAGTTTGCTATTTGAGTCATAAGCTTGTTATTTGAGTCATTAGCTTGTTATTTGAGACAATAGAATTACAGGAAACTAATGTCCTAAATAACGAACTATCATATATGATGAGTATTGTAATTGCTGACTATGAATAGTATTAGGATGAATGGCCTAGTTGTTCTATTGGATAATTAGGCATCCAACTAACTTGGATCCTACAGGAAAAAGCCCAAATATAGCCCAAAATCTTCCTATCTGAAGCCCATTATCTTAGCTCATCCAAGCGGGGCCCATGATTTCGTAAATATTCCCTACTTTCCAAAATGAACATTTGGCCCTTCACCCTCTCCATGAGTTAAAATGTTTCATTAGCCATTGAAATTTACACCATGTCACAATTTACTCACCAAAATTTCAAAATTGTCCCGTTGACCACTGAACTTCACTCTATTAGTCTCCATTACTCACTAGGTAAAATCGATTAGCATACGAGATGACGTGGAGGACGGAAAAACTATGTGTCCAGTTAAAAGCATCCAAATACAAACTTCATTGCCAACTCAGCACACCCAAACACGCCTTTGAGATCAGGAATTGAAACATGCTTTGATTAAATTTAACAAATTGCTACCATCTAAAAAAAAAAAAAAATGAAGTGAAGGAAATCCCCAACTCGAGATCAAGACCACGTTCGAAACCCTAAGCTCCAAATCAAGAAAATAAATTACCCAACCATTTTTGATCACTCGACGAGCCAAACCGAAGCTTAAAGAAACAACACCCATTTCGTTTCAGTACTTCGACAACAAACTCTTTGGCGTGTACATGGACGGACAACACGAAGGTAATTTCCGATTTTTTTTCTTTGTATTTTTTGTTTACATCGGAAGAGATCATACACGTGCTGAAGATTATATATATAAATTTATTTTCTCATATCTGAAACTTCTATGAGTATTTTGTTGTTCATCATTCCTGGCTAAGCTGTCTTCATAATGGTTGTCGTTTGTTGTTCCATTTTTATAATTTATTTTATGTTTTATCTGTCCTCAATAATATGTTTGTTTAATTAATTACATACAAATGTCCCGTTTGACTTTGTTGAACATGTTTGCATAGTCTAATCCCATTTTGTTTAGACCATTGTCTGTGTCTTTATTTTCTTCTATTGTTATTTCTGATGTGAAAGAAATACATTACATGAATTTAATACTTGCTTAAATTTTGATCATTTGCACTTGTTCTTGCTTGATGTGATTTAATTGTAGGACAAATTGTGATGAAGATCCGGAGTTCATTAATTTCATATGTTTTTTTTTCCATTTAGTTCCTGTTTACTTTACCTTTATTTTCTCCCATTGTTATTTCTGAGGTGAAAGAAGAGTTAAATGTTTCATTGGCTGAATGTTGGTTTAATTTTTTACAATGTTATTTCTGAGGTGAAAGAAGAGTTAAATGTTTCATTGGCTGAATGTTGGTTTAATTTTTTACAATTTACATGACTCTTCGTTAATGTGGTTCATTTGTATAACAGATTGTGGGGAAGATCTAGACTTTTTAGAATCCAATCACGAGTTTGAGTCACAACGAGGACATCGAATATGATAGAAACGTAACTAATGAGATTGAAATTAGATTGGATGACCATGACGATGAAGTACACGAAGAATGAGAAGAAGGCAATGAGAACGGGTTGAATGAATTGGAACTACCATCGTCAAATGATCTACTCTCCCAATGTTCATCCGATGAGGATGACAGTTATCACTTTCCTGAATTCACTTTTGATCGGAACATGACAAATTCCCAATTTGAGGTAGGACAAATATTCAATTCCGCAACAGAATTTCAGGAGGCTGTGCTAACGTACGGTGCATTTAATGGGTACAACGTAAAATTTAAAGTAAACAAGGAAAGAAGAGTACAATGAATTTGTAAATTGGGCTGCAAATGGTGAATATGAGCTTCTAAATTTGATGCATTTGAGAGGTTGCAAGTAAAATCTTAGACTTCGGAGCATACCTGTAACTGGGACCAATTTAATAAACACTATAATTAAATGGTTAAGTTTCACAAAACTCCTCCATATTGTTTCCTATTATCCTTATCTCATTTTCCCTTGCGGAAGGTAAATTTGACAGAGATATCCACGTCATTTTCTTTGGTTATTTTAGCAACATGCTTCAACAAATCCAACAACTCATGAATTTTCGATGTAGCGCTTGACTGACCCTCATATTGACAGTATTCGTCTTCGTCGAACCACTTGAAATGAGTGTAATCGTTAGACAACACAATTAGCCGTCCTAAGTTTTCAGTCCTCTTTTCAACCTCCATGCATTTTTGAATTCCCTTACCGCATATTGGGCACGATTTCTTCGTCGGACACTACAACAAGTAGTGGCCCGACTCTGGCAACCATGACAAATCCCTTTGTTCTTCCCCCCATTATAATATTCTGATACAGCTAAAAAATGAAAATAAAATTAGATCAAAAATCATATTTATTCCATCTAGTAAATGGGTGATCATCAATAAATGTACAAATGTTGCCTCTCACTTTTACTTAACTAAACATCACCAGCAAAGGCAAGAAACCGGTGAAGGTGCAAAATGAATTATATCAACAAGTTCTACAATTTATTCCATATGGCTGAAATAAAATAGATGTTGCTTCCTAACGGCATAACTGGTAAAATCATTGAAACACATTAGCATTATTCCATCTGCTCCTACACATCTGAAAAAGAACATAACAAAAGAACATATCAAATTGTCAGATGGAGTCTCAAGATTGATATTTGAATGAACCCAGCCCGTCCGTATCACATACAAGGAGACAATTCAGTGACATAATCGAGCACAACGCCAAATCTACTTCATATGGAATATCCCATTAATACATTCAACATTAGAGCTCTTAATAATCAACTGTACAATATTAGTTTGGGACAACCAAACACATGTAATGCCCACTTGGATCTACCCAAATTTTCACCTTTGCTCATTTTCATCAAATAACTTCACTTGATAAAGAAATTGTACAGGAAAGTAGCTGTATCATTTGATTCCCATTTGTTTTTTTTATCTTTCAAAAAAATTAAAATAGCGATCACGTCTTGTTACGTGCTTGGGGACACCCAAAAGAATTCTTTTGATTCTCGGAACTCATAAGACTTCATCTCATAATTGGGAGTAATGAATTTTCGGAACTACTAAGACAGGTATTGGAGAAGATTTTTTGGATGAAGTTAGGGTTCTTCAGTTAAGATGTCTATGATTTGGGAGGAGGGTGAAAATTTGGTGTTTATTTAAGTGTGTATGAAATTATCAAAGCACGATTTTAATACGTTGATATGGTCGATGATACTTGTAAAGATTTAACCGGCCAACTAGAGTTTTCGTCTGCGTTATAGGCATGTCAATTAACAGATTTGTGGCGGTGAGTAACGGACAGTAACAAATCAAAGTACCGTGGCCATTGAAAAAAGTTACAAAAGTTCGGTGAGCGAGTAACCCTAAGTTTAGAAACATTTACTACCCTTTCCATTCATTGTCTTTAAAGCAAAAATTCAACACGATCAAGAGGCGTTCGTCGCACTCCCCCACCCCTAACCCTATCTCTTTCCAAGTCTGCTCTCAAGAATTCAAGTCGGCGAATTGTATTAAACTTGAAGAAATCTCAGTTTTTGTATCAGTTCTCTGGGACAGTTCGAAATTCGTTGTATGTACATAGAGAATTCGATTGTTACGGTTGAAATTAGATTTTTCCTTGTACTGTTTTTGTATTTATCAATTCAGGTCGAGTCTTGTTTTTGAGGTAGAATGATAGATTTGTTTTGTTTGAATTGAATTGAATTTGACGTGGATTATGTAATAGTATAGGTTAGTGATGAAAAATGAGAAATTAGGGTTAGGGTTTTTGTGAATTGTAAAGGATATGGAGAGTACACGCAGACCATTTGACAGATCACTTTCGAAAGAACCGGGATTGAAGAAACCCAGACTCACTGAGGACCCTGCAGCTCCCGATCGTAGCTTTAATGGACGTGGTAGAACTAGCCTTGGCGGCGGATTTATTCAACGACCCGTGTCTTCATTCCCTGGGGGTGGAGGCGACTCGAGATTCCAGAGGGACCGAGACTCGGAGAGCAGTGACTCTATCCGTGGGCCTTACCAACACCAACAGAGTCCGCAGCTGCATCAGGAGTTGGTGACCCAGTACAAGACTGCCTTAGCTGAGCTGACTTTTAACTCGAAGCCCATAATTACGAACTTGACTATTATTGCCGGTGAAAATGTGCACGCGGCCAAGGCCATTGCAAACACTGTCTGTGCGAATATTCTCGAGGTGATCCCAGTTTTTTCCCCCCACCCTAGTAGTAAATAGTGCTTTATTTTACTTCTAGAATTGTATTGAAAAAACTGAAAAGAAAAATTGGAACATGTGTAAGGATGGACTGCGGCAAAATGTGATTTCCATAGTTAAGGGAGGAAGCACTGGGTGTAAGTTTTTCAGCAAGTGGTTTATTTTCATTGAAAATTCTTTTAAATCCTACAGATTGATGTGTGGCGAAGAATTATTCTATTTGATGGAATGTGGTTTCGAGCACAAAAGCACAAGTCAAATAAAAAATTGCTTGATCATTTGCGAACGTTAAAGATGTGGGAAGCTGGAAATTCACTTTCAATTTATAATAATTGATTGCATTTTATTGCCTATGTGACGGCATTGATTATTCATTTCTTCGATGTTGTGGTTGCTTAAAACAGCCGTCTTTTTCTCTGACTCGAAATAGCCAGTGTGAGTTTGTATTTTGGACAAATGATCTGTGATGATTTGTAATATTTTTTATTCTTTTGAGGGTCTTTTCCAACCCCTTGGAGAGAGGGGGTGGGGAGGAGGAGGAATAGTTCTACACTCTGCTTTTTTTGTGTTGTTTACGAAAAGCTTCTCTGTGTTGATTACAAAAACGAATTAATACTATGTGATTCTCTGTGCATATTGAGTTGTATGGGGCCAGTCTCTTATATGTGTATTTTCTTTAGTTGACCAGTTCTATTAGCCCACATCAATGTTTGGGCTGTGTTTGAAGCTGAAGAAGTTCTGAGTTATGTTGCCTTTTCATCAGAGAAATGTAACTTAAATGTCCATTTTGGGCTTCGTAACATTCAAAATTTCCTCTTGTAATCCTTTCATTGTTGTTCTATGTAACTTCTGTTGTATTCTTTCCAATCAGCAATTGTATTCTTTTTATTGCTAAAAGATGCAGTCAGCAATTGTATATGTGGTGAAGAGTTGTTTCTAATTGATTCTCCTGGTTTCTTCAAGAGGATGTCCATTATTGTAAAGTTGGTGGTACATACTCAATATGTATGTGTTTACTGAAGAACGTTTGAGTTGATTACTCAAATGATTACTTATGTAACAGAACTTAATGGTGTGATCCAGTATGACTCGAGCAATTTCCAGGTTGTAAAGGGTGGCCTTACCCTTTTCCCAGGATATGAAACTTTGTATTAGCAAAAATTTTAAGCATTTAATTATTACCAACTATTGACAGGGAGAGCTTATGTTTCTTTCATGGTTAATAAATTCCAGAAATTTTTTTATGTACGTTACTATTTGAACTTCATTTTGAATTGGTAATTTGTTCCTCTTAAATATTTGAATCTGGTGTTTTTTTCCCCTGCTTGTCCTTATGTGCTTTGTCGATAACAACATCATCTTCATCTTTGTCCTTTAAGAAGTCATAATCACAGAGAGTTGTGGCTTTTATAGAAATATCTCTAGAACATTGTGTTTGTATGCTTTCATCCATTTTAATGGTTTTTACCTAAATAACATTAGTTTCAGGATAATCCTTTTGCTGTGCTGGTGACTTAAGAACTTTAGG